GATCAAGTTCAGAGTTAACATCATGTAACAAAAAACCAGTATTTTCCTTAGGCTGAAGAACATTAGTTTTATGCAATAAATCATAATCATTTGGTCTTTCCCTTGTAGTAGTATCAACGATAATGTTTAACCTTTCTATTACTCGAGTGTTTATATTAGCAGCTACCATTGGAGTACTTGGTTTTAATACTTGAGTACCTGACTTAGATGTTAATTGGAAATTTAAAAATTGCCGAAAAGAGCTATCAACCATTTAAGTATATGGTAACTTTAGAGCTAAAGATCTGTATTTTCGTAAGTTTTGGTTATTTTTATAGCTTTGAGAATCTTGAAAACCATTAGCGTCAACTTGGTGAGAAGACATTTTGACAATTTTTGACGAGAAAATTTTTGTTTCTCACGCTTCTGGTTGGTTGACATGATGCATTATTTTTTTGTTTTTAAAGTTCGGAATTAGTTCACGTCATACAAAAAGATCAGTCCAACCAAATTTAACAAAAACTGAACGAAAAAACTGACTGACTGGAAATGAACAGGCCTAGTAATTACTATCTGTTTCATAATTTTTTTCTATAAAAGGTATTTGTGAAGATATATTAAATATATTAAAGCATTGTCTAATATAATTATGTTAATTATTATGAGAAGTATAGTGACTTCAAATTATTTTTGAAGTGAAATACAAAAGAAAGAAACATGATTTATTTATCAATTTTTATAAATATAAATATATTATTTATTATTTCAACTTTATATAATTAATTAATTGCTAATATATCTTATTATATTATATATTATATTTGGTAATTGTATTGATTACTATAAAAGTCTAATTAATATTTATATAAAAGTCTAATAGTTACATTATAAAGTCTAATAAATAAATAAATGTCTAATAAATATTACTAAAGTCTAAAAAAAGTCTAATTTTATATTTTTATCTATAAAAGTCTAGTAAATAATACTAAAAAGTTTAAATTTAATATTTTTATCTATAAACGTCTAATACATATATTTGTATAAAAAGGCTTTTTTAATAATTAACAAAAAAATCTTTTTACAATAATATCTTTATATAACAATATTTCTTTATAATAATATTTCTATATTAATATATTGTATCTCTTTATAATAATGTCTTTGAAAAAGAAAACCTGTTTCTATCCTAAATGCATTTACTAAGACTTTTGCTGAATAAGGTTAAAAAAAAAAGAATAATAATGATAACAAAAATACAAAAGCTGATACAAGTTTTTGTTATCTGTGATCGAAAGAAAAAAGAGCCTATTAAGAAAATTTTAAATAATAATAGCAATAATAATAATCCTTAAAGAAAATCTAATAATGAAGTCTGTAATAATGATAATGTTACAGATCAAATCGGTGACAACAAAGTTAAAAAAGATGATGATGAAATAGAAGATAGTAATAATAGAATCAAAGAAATAGAAAAATTAGCTTTAGCTTTCATTAAACCTAAACTATTAGCTACGTTCTTAATTAATAAATTTTTAAAAATAAGTGATAATAAAGATAGCTTTTCACTTTTATTTTAAAGTTATATTTGATATACAGACCCCCGCTAAAAGTCTCCAAATGCCATCTTTCAGGGGCTATTTCATACTGATTACGTCGCGTGACTGCATAATACTTCAGTCATGTGATGTTCAGACCTTTGTTTACTTGAATCAAACCAAATAAATGCGTGTTTGGTTTGTTTATTTTGATTTTT